GCCATTTTAACATGAACTACATCAACCAAGGCCTTTTCCTCTGCTTAAAGCACACTGCAATTCATCCTTAACTCTTTCTTTGCCTAGCCTGTACTATTTAAGCCGATATTCATCTTTAGATCAGCCAGTACCATTCAACCTGTAATTCTTTTATTGCTTAGCCTGCACTGTTCAAGCCGATACTCATATTCTGTCCAGCCTGTCCTATTCAGGCCATGCCTCTTCCTTTGCCCAGTCTGTACTAATTCGAGATTCTTCCTTTCCTCGCCATGACCTACTGCCAAGCCTAGAACAACACCCAACGCCTCTTCATGCCTTACCTTGAGAAGAATGAAAGAGATAGTCCTCCCTCAGCGAGCGTGTCTCCGTGTAGCTCAGGTTATCGCCGTCGTCGTTGGGGAGGGCGTAGGGGTCGTCCTCGTTCTCCTCCTCCACCAGGGTGGGCGGGGGCGTGAGCTCATAGCCCCAGCGCCTCCGGAACGCCCTCGCGCCCCCGTCCAGTCGCACTCGGGGGAGGTCATAGAAGAGCGAGTCTCCGATCTGTTGGCAGAAAGAATTGCTGTTTAAGTCGTGAGAAAATACTTGGTTTAACTTATCCATGCCCTAACAGGTGTTTTAAAAATAGCATGCGTTGAAATGAGAAAGCCCTTGCCGTTGGTGACCACGCGTTAGAACACATCCCCAAGCCAGATAAATCACCTTGGGCGCCCATTGCTTAGCCGATTCCTCTCTCAGCTTGGCTCTGGGAATCAGGTGCTCGTACGTGGACACGGAGAAGCTGTTCTTCCTGGCTCTGACCCCAAGGAGCTTCCCCGACTCGCTTTCGTCTTCGTGAGTGCACAGCCATTTCTTCCTGAATCTGAACGACTTTTTCATTTTCTTTATCCGCTCCTTTGCGTCGTCGTCCCGAAGCTCCGGGCCCTTGACGTCGCCGTCGCTCATGAGGCGCTGCAGCCGCCGGAGCACGGGGGTATCCGGGGGCTCCGGGTGCAGCTGCCATTGCTCGGGGGCGTTGAGGAGGCGGTAGCTGGCGCGCGTGCAGCAGTCTACGGGAAGGCACGTTTCCAGCCACGGCATTTCTGTGCCGGCGACACTACACTACCAAGATCGTGCAATATTCACTCAGTATATTCCCGCCTGGTGTGAGCACGAGAGAATAGAACTAATTGCATCAAGCACACTTGTTTTCTCATTTAACACAAATTTTATCTCACAAACCGCACCCTTTCCATTGACACCAACGTTGCTACCCTTAAACTAAACACTAAGAAACTACGCCCTGGGGATACCCCTGGCGGCAGAGTCCCTCCCTTTCTCGGCACCAAAACACAAACAAAAGCCAGAGGCGACGCGGCGGGAGGGGACGCGCTTCCTCCTTCCGCCCACGAGCGACAGAGATCGAGACTCCTCCGCGACGCCGCCCGCGACCCAGGCAAGACGCGGCCCGTGAGTCACGTGTGAGTCATGAGGGAAAGAGGGGGGGCGTATGGGTGTGGGGGAGACGGGGCTGTACATTCATGCACGCCTCGGTTGACATACTGAGAAATATCGAACAGGAGTCATGTAATTATCAGGCAATTGCACAATGAAAGCCTCTTGGGCGAATAAAATATATCAAGCAACATATTTTGCTTCGTTATTTGCTTCTATAAAAAATGACAACTCGAGTTAAGCCTAATCAGAGGCTGTCTAGGGCCTCGCTTGCAGCACCGAGTGCGATTTCCCCGACAGTTCCCCCGTCGCGTCCGAAATTACTGCCAGTCGGACGTCGGGAGTTATGCTTAATGGCCTCACATCCTGCGGCGGCGTCCAAGTTGCCAGTCAGGCCGACGAGGAGGAAATATTACTCATCTCCCACGAACACGGGCAGGCCTTCGGATCAGCTGGCGACGTCCCACTGGCAATCTTCCCGATCTCTCACATCGAACAATTTCCTGGCACATCTGGATCCATTGAGTCACGGCGCGTAATCCCTTTCCGTGCAGCGTGAGCAACAGAAACCGCAGTGACCTTCATGGGGGATGATTGTCCACTATCCCTTCCATGCAACACACCTCCTTGTGCAACATACATTGCCGCCATTGCCTACAGCCTCGCCAATCGCGCGAGACACCTCTCCGTTTAAAACCTACATCACGAGCCTATCAGTCACGCAACGCCACCTAAACTATGCGACGCCCTCCCACGCCCTCGGCCACGACTCGCATATCAGGTTGCGGGGATGGCTCGGGTGGCGCGGGCGGGGGTCTTATTATCCTGAGTGTATTCACCTGGCGTCCCCCGCAGCTCCTCCGCATCCTGGAGGCGAAGAAGGCGGGCGGAGCCAAGTGCACGGCAGCGGATGCATGGAAAGTGCGGCGCCTAAATGGGTCTCTTCGTGCGGAATACGACTCCCCTCGCGCCCGGAATCTATGCCGCGGCGGCGCAAACGAGACCTAATTTATGCGCTGGCAGACGAGTTAATGGCAAGGGTGTGTCGAGGTCTCTCTCTTCTCTCTCT